TCCCCAGCAGAGTCGCCATCTTTTGTTTGTTGGGAAATTGCAAAGGAAGAGAATAAAGAAAATGTGATTTTGATTCCTTTGATCTCGGTTACAACTTGATTACAAAAGAGAGGAAAACGAATTTGGTTTTCCCCTTTGTTTAAAACTGGGTTCTTCTTGGCAGCGATGGAGTGCTTCCTTCGATTGATTGCGTCGAACTTGCTCTCCGTTGACGATCCGACCGTCTTTATCTCGTGGGAACGATGAACTTTCGTGGAAAGTTTTATGAATAACTCTGAATGAGTTTAAGAACTCTGAACGAGTTTGAACTCTGTGAATAGAGTTGTTGGAACCGAAAATTCGGTTAAAGATCAAGCTGTTTTTCTGTTGTCGAAGAATCCTCTCAGATTTGATCTTCTGAGGTTGATTCAAAAATCCTATCTCCGAGGATTTCGTTGCTGTCGTTGCCGAATCTCCAAACCCGAGTGGTTTTTATGATAAAGAATCCAACCTCTGATCTGATTATCAAAAATCCGATCCTTTAACTCTGTCGAGTTTGTTTGAGAACTGAAAATCTCCAACCTGTATGGTTTAGATTTTTTGAATCCAACCTGTGTGGTTCAGATGCCAAAAATCCAACCCGTTGCTCTGTTGGGTTCGTTGAGCTTTTATAGGGGGATAAGAGGTTGTAACTGACCCCTATATCTGCTCCTACGTGGGTGAAAATCCCCTCAGAACGTGGGATAAACGGTTTTGGAACCGTTCGACTTATGTTTGAATAAGTCAAACGCCCATTCTGGCGTTTAGAACTCAACTTCGTGTTCTTTGGATTGAGACGCGAGGTTGGGTGTTAGCTGAACACCATTGAACGCGAGGGTCGCTCACGTTTGGCTTGTGCATTGTCGACGCGAGGGTCGCTGTTGGTTGAACACCATTGAACGCGAGGGTCGCTCACGTTTGGCTTGTGCATTGTCGACGCGAGGGTCGTCGTCATTTTCCAAATTGGTGACGCGGGGATGACATCCGCGTTTCAGAAGGAGCCATTTGACTTGTAACTTCTTCCGTAAAGCGTTGCAAGGACGCGAGGGTCGCTGTGGCTTGACGACGCGAGGGTCGTCGTGGCTTGACGACGCGAGGGTCGTCGTGGTTTGACGCCGCGAGGGTCGCCTTCATTTCCAAAGTTATGACGCGGGGATGACACCCGCGTTTCAGAAGGAGCCATTTGACTTGTAACTTCTTCTGTAGAGCGTTGCAAGGACCGTTGTTCAATAATCCTAGCTTTAGCTGTTGTGGAGTGTGAAAGTCGTCAGATTGTAACTTTCACTGTAGATTGTGAAGACTGCTGAATAGAGTTTTTTCATCAATCGTCAGAAGTATCGTTAAATTGTAACTCTTCTCGATCTATGTGAACAGCCCTCCATTCGCAACTTTCGTTCACCGACCCGAAAACTATTTGATTGTAGCTTTCGTTGTAGGAGCTAGACGGGAATCAACATCCATAGTGTCTTAAAGATGAATATTCGCCCATAGCTCTCTACCAAGCAACTATTCGACTGTATGTTTCGATCATCGACCCGAAAGCTATTTGATTGTAGCTTTCGTTGTAGGAGCTAGACGGGAATCAACATCCATAGTGTCTTAAAGATGAATATTCGCCCATAGCTCTCTATCAAGCAACTCACCAACTGAGTCCAACTTTTTATTTCTGAAATCGTCCCACTGCTCATCAGCATCTCTAATAGTTGCTATGATATTAGCCATGCTGTTGTCACAGCCATCAAGATCAATCATCTCAGAAGTGAGGTCGCGTTTGTGGCAATTATGGAGTTGCGGATGCAGTGATTGGGAAGTCGTCTGATTGTGACCTCCGTTGTCGGAGCTTGTTTGAATAAGCTATCTATTGTGATTTTTAGACAGCCTACAACTACCATTTTGAACAATGATGTTATATTCATATAGGTCCTGTTACAATATACAATTATTCCATGTAGGGCACCTATACCTAACACATGTGTGCACATACAAACACTGCTCATAAAGATAATGCCACACACAATTAACACGAGAGAGCAACTAAATCGTTTCTTTTGATTTCTAGGAGAAATTTTCTAACCACACACAATGCGGGGGTAAGGCTGCGTACATTTGATTCTCGCCGGAGCCCACAATGGTGGGAGCCTCATGCACTGAGCTACCCTTTTAATTTCCTAGTAGTTGAGTTGGTACTACACTAGTCTATTGATCATCAGGTCATGGGTTCGATTCCTGCCCCCTTTCAGTTTATTTGAATGGGAAAATAGGATTCATGTAGCCGAACCCAAACATTTGGGATAAAGGCTTGGCGGTTGTTGTTGTGGTTATAATTTTTTGCGCTAGCATCAGGTGATGTGTACAGTTTCGGTGTGTTCCTGTTGGAGCTTGTTACAGGTCAAGAAGCTGCAAGTCCTCCTCTAAAAGAGTCAAGTAAGAGCTTGGTCCAGGGGCTAAGGCTGTCATATTGCAATTATAATTCCACATCATATACCTATCCATTTTTCCGCAGATTGAAATATAATAGTTCATGAAAATATATTTGTTATATATCTTTCCCTGATAATGGTTACTTGTCGCAAATCCTAAAATATGGTCTTTTTACAGTATCCAACTCTGATAAAATTTCAAGATAAACCAACCGAAAATTGCTTGTTACTTGTTCATACAAGGTGGACGCACATTTGAGTACAGATGATCTCATCGATGAACGAATTCATGGAAGTTTTACTTCTGAAGGAATGATACATCTTATTCAGCTAATCCTTCGATGCTTATGTTTGCAGAGAGCAGAGAGACCAAAGAATGGATTCAGTTGTTTTGGAGCTGGAGAGGATTCTTGAGACGGAGATGGCATTGACAACAGTCATGGGTGATGGTTCTGCCGTAGTCACTCTAGGCAGCCAGTTTTTTACTTCAAGCTGAAATAATTTGTCCAATAAACTCATCCATTTGTGTATTTTAGTGGTTTGAAAGAGGATTTATCATATGTAAATGATGATAGTATGTACAATAAAACCTTATGCATGTTCAGGAAATTGCTGCACATGTAGTACTTCGAGATCAGCATTCAATACTTTTGAGTCTGTGCACTCTTTAGCCATCATACCTCTCTTTTTACTTGAAGGATTTTTCAACATATAATTTATATTAGTGTTTGTGTACTCAAGGAGATGTAAGTATGATGCGTACACTCATGGACTGGAATCATCCAACTTTTGTCTCTCAAGTTATTAGATAGTAGTAGAATATTTACAATTAGCTCATCATTCTTAATTCTACATCTTCTTGATGTACTGTTGGTGTATGTGAAAAACTACTCAAGGGAGGCTTTTACAATTTCAAACACAACTAGATTTTGGTCCATTAATCAAAATGGCTGGGAAAAGAAAAGTTTCACTTAAGAAATTTCCCTCACCGCGGTCCGCCAGTATGGTTGGGTGGGTCCGCCAATATGGTTGGGTGGGTTTGCTCTCTACTCAATGGTCTCATCGAATATTCTTGTCGGCTTTCTTAGAATTGAGATAAATACGAGGTAGACTCCTAAGAAATTGGGATGCACATTACGGTGGGTTCTAATTCTCGAGGTTTCCTTAAAAAGATTTGAGTCCTAATAATGTGAGGACTCGAACTCGGGCTCTCCCTCAGACGTCCCCAGTTGGCCCTTAAAAAAATGAACAATAGAAGTTTCACGATTTGAGTTAAAAGACCTCAAAACACATTGTTTCCCAAAATCAGGTAAACGTAACGGCAAGAATCGAACAAAGATGCAGGGGATATATTTCACCCTCTGATACTATTAATCTTCCGTCGATAAACAAACATACAATCCTGAGATAGGCTTCAGTAAGTATAATTACATACATTTCCCATTACCAAAAGTTACACTTCTATATCACTAATACATGCTCAGCTCACTGAACGAGATGCGTCATACAAAGGAAAAGGGAAAATAAAAAGATCCCGAGTAGCCTTTTGGCGATAAATAAATGCTTGTTTTCTGCAAAAAAAGATATCAGAAAAGCAATCTCCCTGATTCCCCTGATTCCCTGGGTAAGTGTTATGGATTCTGTTTCAATAACTCGCAAATTTTGGTATTCACACCGAAAGCAAAATTCAACCTCCCAACTCTTCCTTGCAGTATCGTTATCATTATCATCACATAAGCTTTTGTTTTGATCGCTGAACCTATAAATTTGGTTTTTTTCACCGCCTGCTATTGAACCCATTTCCTCGCGATCCAATTTCATCCCTCCTTGGCCCTCTTGACCTATCACTGAATTGATTAGATCTTTCTCTTCTATTACCATTCTCAAACCTATCAAAACTCTGAAACCTGTCATTTTCTCTCCTTCCACCATAGCCATTTCTCCTATTCCTGTCATTAGTACTGTCAAAATTTTCATTTTCTCTCCTCCCACTGTACCCATTTCTCCTATTCCCGTCGTTTGTTCTATCAAAACGCTGGAATCTGCCATTTTCTCTCCTTCCACCATAACTACCTCGATGAGAAACCCTAGAAGAGAAATCATCATTATGGTCGTTGAAAGAATTCCTTCGGTTGTTGTTGTTCCTCCTATCATCTGATCTAAATCCTCCTCTTCTTGCATTACCAACGTCATTAGATTTCCTGAAACTGTTTCCTCTCATTTTATTTCTGCCAGAAAATGAGTTACTTTCAGAATCTGAATCTAGAAGCAACCCATCATCTGAATCATCATTCCTTCTATTGTTTTTGTTCCTCCTATTTTCCTTACCAAAATCATTGGGTTTCCTGAAAGTGTTTTCTCTCATTTTATTTCCAGAATATGAGTTGCCATCATCACCATCAGAATCTGAATCGACCCCATCATCCGAATCAGAATCTCCTCCATGTCTACCAATACCGTTCCTACTCGAACTGTGTCTATTGTTCTCTCTCTTTTTGGATCCAAAATCCTCATCCATGACATCGTCATCGTCATCATCATAATCAGAACCCAGAGCTCTTCCACCTCTTCTTTTAGATTTTCGCCAAGATTCAGCAACGTGACTAGATTTCAATTGAGGATGATCAGCAAGGTCGTCATCTTCCGAGCCAGATGTATAACCTTTAGCACCCTGGACAAAGTTAGTACGGTGATCTAAGTCATCAAAATCTTCTGAATCTGATGCATCCTCAACCTCAGAAAAGTTCCTCATTGAAACATCACGTGCCTGACTATTTGACCCATCTAGCTCATAACTATCCACACCGTCCTCCTCTTCATCATCAAAATCATCAAATCCCATTCTGTCTGAAGGTAACGTGGATTTCCTTTCATTGTCATCTGAGAAGTATCTGCCTCTTCCTTGATTTCTTGGAAGTTTTTTGGAGGTCCTCATATCATCTTCAAATCTCTCATCAAGATCAGAACCACGGCCGACTTTGTTTGAATCTGCAAACTCAAAGGCTGCAACATCAGCACCATCTGACTCGTTGTCATCAAAGTCAAAGTTCCAGGCATTCGAAACCTCTTGCGCTCTGGAAGCTCTATCCACCTGCATCCTTAAGCCATGTTGCTTTGGCTGGAAGTGATTCTCTGTGAACTCATCTGGGGGTCGCTTAGCATCACAATGGAAGCATGCCATATTCCTCCTATAATTCAAGAAGTTGCACCTAGAAATACACAAGATGCATGCTTGTTAGGCATTTAAAATTACATATAGCCATGGAGCTATAGAAATTTTGACATTTACACAAGAAAAGGCAAAAGAATTTACTGTGGACACTCCCATTCCCCTGGGAGAAGCTGCCTTTTAGGGCGTTTGGCATCACATTGCAAGCAAACAGTGTTTTTTGCAAAGTTCATGAAGTCACACCTGATGCAACATTTTAGGTACAGAAAATAAGTAGATGTAGGAATAAGAGATGGATAAAAAAACCCCAACAATTAAGGGCATTTCCCATAAAACTCACCAAATACTTTGTTTATCCCATTAAACACCAAAAAAGTTCTCTCAAATGGCCCCCAACTTGATGAAAATGCCTCTTAGGCCAAAAACATCATTTTTATTTTATTTTATTTTATTTTTCTGCAAAAGAAATACCCACATTAGGCAATTCGCAAACCCTAACCGAGCACTTACACGAGGGTTCTTTTTTAAGGTACTACTTTGCCGAGGGGCATTTTTGTCACTGTGGGGGTTATGTGGGAAAATTTTGATGTTAAGTGGGGAAAACAAAGTATTGTGGGGTTTGTAAGAAATGCCCCAAAATATTGCGGGCTTTGTAAAATTTGAAAGAACAAATAATAGCAAAGCAGTACTTGGAGCAGAGCCAGTCTCCCTTCTTCATTTCAACATCATCACGCCCTACTCGTTTCTTAGGTGGGGGTGGAGGTTGCTTTACTTTAGGAGGAGGCTTCTTGATCACTGGAGGTGGAAGGTTGGGGTCAATTGGGATGGCACTCAACTTGACAATCTCATGTAGCAACTTGCGAACAACAGTTTTGACAGATTTCATTTGCATGAGTGGTTTGTTTTCAACTGCTCCATTTACATGATCAAAGCCATATGTCAATAAGACGCGCATTACATCAAGAGTTCGTGCCTCATCCTCTTTAAGTGTGAGAATGTATCCTCTACTACAGGAATTCCTTAGGCTGCAAGAACTACATACCTGTAATGTTATGCAGAAAATTAGTTCATTGAAGATGCCCATCATTTATAAATATGCAGAAAATTAGTTTATTGAAGATACCCATCATTCATGTATAAGTTAAAAGTACTGGAGAATATAGAGGTGTGATACTTACATCTCCCTCATCAAGATGAGTGTACTTCCTTAACAGCTTGGATGAGAAAACAACCTTCGGATCCATGCTAGGACACCCATGACCGACTAATATTTGAATATCTTTTTTTGATAAAGACCTGAATTTAATAATAGTTTAAATTCAACAAAAAAAGAAGATAATATAACAACAAATCATATAATTGGTTAGGCAACTTGCATTATTACTGTTATCATTTTAAATTGCTGAGCATAAATCATTCTTGCTGTTGACATTGAATCAAATCAAAGCAAAAAATTGTTAACATTCAAACATTAATCATGTCATCAGCTACCAGCTTTCTAATAGGGAACATGCAATAACGAACAGACACAGGTAAATTGCAATAAATAACCACAAATTAAAAAGCATATACAGAATTGGGCATTGTGAAAAATAAATCATATTGTCCCTTTAAACTAAAATTTTGGGGAAAAGACAACTGCGACCTATCTGTGTAATGAAGTGCAATAATGAATTAATTCTTATATTAGAAGATATTGGTTTGATAAGAATATCCATACATAACTCAACGTTAAGATTTAATATATCTTCCTTTGACTAACATTTCAATTAGAGGAAATGATTTGATAAGAAGAATTCATAAAGCTGACAGAAATAATTATCATGATTTGCAAGTATTTTAATGCTATCATCAATGGATATAAACAGGTGTGCACAATACAAGAAAACTTCATAAATGACCTAAAACTGGAAACAATGTTTTCAGTTGACATATGCTTCAGGATATAGCAATTTTACGAGGTTTTCTTCACTAAGGTCGAAGTAATTTGGTTGCTTGTCAAGATCAGGAAAATCATATCACAATGAATTGATTTTAAAGCGTAAAACATTGAATCTTCCATGCTAGGAATTACCCCATATAGAAAATTAAGTTGTCCTCAATACACAAGGATTTGTCCAGTGAAGTGCAAACAAGACCTAAAGACTTAGCCAACAGAGTCTTTGAATAGTTTAAGACATGCACTAGGCACGCCCAAAATCCAGGCAACCTTTACTTGTCACGTTTATAGCTACATATGGATTTCGTCCTCGATGAGTATACTTCTAAACAGATAACAATGATATCTTCGAATGCCATCTAGAATAAAAGAACTATTACATGAGAATCATTATAATACAACATAATCTGCAAAAAACAAAAAAGATGCATCATTTATTAACCAATCCAACAAATTTAACAAAATCATGCACCAAAGTTTATACAAATATATCAAATAGGAAACACATTGCACATAAGTGCAACTGATCATTCCTAGCAGCAATCTAGTTCCATGAAAAGACTTACGTCTACATTAACCTTCAAACCAACTAACTTTTAGAAAAATCAAGTCGACGTTTTTTAGAATAACAAAGTTTAAATTCAACGAATCTAGAAAAAGTAAAGAAAAAAATCCTTAAATCCCAAATTAATTCTCAAGCTCAACATATCATAATAGTAAAACAATTATACGCCAAATCATAATCATGCAAAGCCCTCAGTTTACATTTTACCTAACCCCACAAATGTCAATATTTTTTTTTACTCTAATGATCTTGAATATGTTCATAATTAGCTAACAAAGTTGCAGACAGCAAAATTATACAAAATTACTCAAAGTTGCTACCTTTACTCCAAATTCAACAAAGGTTTAAAGAAGCCCCTCTCATACCTCAAGATATCAAACCGATCCTTGCCGAAATTCATACACGCATTCCTCACAGTATTCCAATCCCTCGAAAAATCAAACCCTACTTCCTCCTTCACCTCACTCAAATCAATCCCCACGCTCTCCGCCACTATCTCCTCGCTCGGCCGCCGCCGATGATCAAAATAGTTCTGCTGCCCTAACCTCTCCATCAGCTCAATCCACTCCGGCCATGGATGCACAACCTCCACATCCTTCTTCTTAACAAACAAATTTTCATCTGGGACCTTCGATTCTTCCTTATTCGGATCTGGGTCCTTTTCACTTGGGGTTCTTTGGGTTCTGCCTTCGCGCCACTGGCGGATTCGCTGCAGGGCGTCGAACTTTTCCGAGGTACGGTTGTCGATGGCGTCGATTTGGTCGAAGACGAAGGAGAGGCGAGCAGAAAGATTGGATTTTGGATCGGGATTTTGATTTTGGGGGTTGGAGAGGAGGCGGGTTTGAATTTGGCAAAAGAGAGGGACTTTTTTGAAAAAGAGACGACGGCGGTTGCGGAGGAGGGCAGACATCGAGAGGTTAAACCCTAGGCTGAGGTTTTAGGTACTTAAAAACTCTGCGGAACGGATGAAGACTGAAGAGGAAGGTCTTGACAGAAAGATTCAACTATGTTTTGCGTTTTGCAGAAATAGTCCAGGATGAGTGTAGAGTGTAATTTTAAAAAAAAGGGAGGACGGATGTAATCCATATCTATACTACATATAAAGATAGATTGATTTGTCAAATCTTTTAATTTTCATTTTTACCCTTTTATGTTTAATAATTCACAAATATGCAATTAGTTGTAATTAGCCATTCATTAACTATATGTTATAACTTCTTGTTAACTATGCATTTCCTCACTTTTGAAATCTTTGGTGACACTATTATTTTATTATTTAAGCATGTTATTTCATAAAAAATTTGAAATTTGTTCCTAATTTATCTTCACTTAATATTTATAATTCTAGAAAAATTAAAAATAAGAAAATTTCATTAGGCTCATGCTTTGTGACTTTGGGTTTCACCTCTTATGGAGAACTATTTGTTACCTTTAATCTTATTAGCCTCTTAAAAGTATGATAATAATACGAAAAATAATTTATATTTATTGTAATTATAATAATATTAATAAATATAATAATCATAATAGTGTTTTTAAATTAATTTAATAATTATACAATTTAGTAAATTATTGTTTAATAGTACAATAAACAATAAACTAATCGTTACATTACAATATACTTACTTGTAGTATTATAAATAGGCTATGTATAATATTATTATAGTTAAAAGAGAAAAAAATTATTTAATATATGATAATTGTTTTAATAAATTATGGATAAATTATAATAATTATCCAAACTATAATAATTAATCATATAGTTCTTTATATATATTTTTATCATATACTTTATTCATTTAAACAAAATTGTGGTTGTTCATAATTTATATTACTATGCAAGTTATTTCATTATTTTACATCCAACAATAAAAAAAATCAAAAAACATAAAACAAAATTAAGTATGCTCTTGTGCAAATCACGTGCAATATACTAGTTTTAATAAAATATGAACAAGAGGGATGTAATTTAATAAAGACAACAACTTCAATACTCCTAAAATGAATTTATTGTATTCCGATGGCATGCTTTGTAATTACTTTCCGTGAATTTTGCTCTATACTTACGTTGATATGGCCCACGTGCTTGTTTAGAGTCTCACGCCCAGTTTTTTTTAAATTGAACAATTTTTAAGGACTATTGAAGAAGTCTAATGTCCATCATCTTCCTCGTCATCTGATTGCTTTTGATTTCTAACAAATAGAGCCGGCCCTAAGCCAGGGCTACCAGGGCTACAGCCCGGGGCCCACAAGTAAGGGGGGCACAATCTTCTATACTATCTATTAAGTCTCTTATCACTGCAAACCCACATGGCAAATCCCCCTTTTTAAAATTTTTTTTTAAATAAATTTGTTTTATAAATTGAAACCAGATTCTTTTCTCTAATTAATTCCCTTGCTCTAATTAAATATTTTTGTTCCTCTCCCAAGAAACCCTTAGTTTTCTGTGTTTAGTTTTCCGTGCTATAGGCTGACATCTCTGTGAAACTTTGATCTACACAAACATCTTTTCATCTTCTCTTATTTCTCTCTCAATCCTCAACCTTTCTCCTTCCTCCAGTCCTCCTCAAAACTAACCTCCTCTCCCTCTACCCCCTCCTCCACTGCCCTCCACCACTTCACCTCCCTCATATCCTCCGACCCCGCTCCCAACCCGAAATACCGGCCTCGGACCCCGCTCCCAACCCGAAATACCGGCCGAAAAGTTTTGATTTACGCTAGAGCAGCACGGATTCGCTAGCGACGCCCCCAAAACGTTGAAGGGGAGTTCTTTATTGGTGAGTTAATTGACTAATTAAAAAAAAGTAAAAAAGAGCATCACTTGAATAAATTATTGAATTGTGAGATCTTTTTTTGTTTGTTCTCACTTCTCAGATCATCAACGCCTTGGGTTGTTTCATCGGCGGTGAGTTCTATCATCATCATCCATCGGTGTTCTTTTGGTTTCTAGATTTGATGCAATTGTTTCTGCAGAAATTTTTATGTTTTTTTGCTGAATTATTATTATTGTTGTTGTTGTTGTTCTTCTTCTTCTGGGTTTTCTGTTTTGGAGAGAATTGAGATGCATACAGTTTTATTTGGGGATAGTCGGAGCCCAGCGTTTATGCGCTTTGGGTGCGTGTGATTGGGTTTTGCGGTTTAGTTTGATCCTTTGATGTCTCTTAGTAATCCAATTTTGGTGGTTTTTTGTTTGGATTTGATTTTGTGGTATGCTGATTGTATTGGATTTGATGTGGAGATTGTATGGGCTGTTGAGTTTAGTTTAGATTGATTTATATGAGTAATTGATACATTTAATAAAATTAATTAATTGATAATTTATTTATCTGTTCGTTTAATTTGTATAAATGGGCACACTTAGAAAATTTGCCCTGGGCCTTAGAAAACCCAGGACCGGCTCTGCTTAGGAGAACCCCCAAACTTTAACATTATATCGTTGTAGAAAGCCTCCTAACTTTCAAATTTAATTTTTGAAAGCTCCCAGGAACTTTTAATAAGGTTCAGCAAAGTCCAATTGTGATAATACGTGGTTAAAGAGATTAATTAAAAAAAGTCAAACATTATGGGGGGTTTTCTAAGGTTTACCCTTTCTGTTCTACTTTTACTGGATTAATTGCTAAATGACATAGATAGCCCTCAGAATTTCTGCTTTTATGATACTAGTATAATGCACGTGCTTTGCACGTGGATATGTTGTTGTATATAATATTATATTATTTAATAAATTATATATAACTTTGCAGAAATAGCCCTGGAGGAGTGTAGTTGTGTATCTTAAAATACGAAAAGAGAGGATGGATGTAATTTAATAAAATATGAAAAGGAGGGATGTAATTTAATAAAATATAAAACTGACGAAGGGGAGTTCTTTATTGGTGAAGGGGAGTTCTTTATTGGTGAGTTAATTGACTAATTAAAAAAAAGTAAAAAAGAGCATCACTTGAATAAATTATTGAATTGTGAGATCTTTTTTTGTTTGTTCTCACTTCTCAGATCATCAACGCCTTGGGTTGTCTCATCGGCGGTGAGTTCTATCATCATCATCCATCGGTGTTCTTTTGGTTTCTAGATTTGATGCAATTGTTTCTGCAGAAATTTTTATGTTTTTTTGCTGAATTATTATTATTATTGTTGTTGTTGTTGTTCTTCTTCTGGGTTTTCTGTTTTGGAGAGAATTGAGATGCATACAGTTTTATTTGGGGATAGTCGGAGCCCAGCGTTTATGCGCTTTGGGTGCGTGTGATTGGGTTTTGCGGTTTAGTTTGATCCTTTGATGTCTCTTAGTAATCCAATTTTGGTGGTTTTTTGTTTGGATTTGATTTTGTGGTATGCTGATTGTATTGGATTTGATGTGGAGATTGTATGGGCTGTTGAGTTTAGTTTAGATTGATTTATATGAGTAATTGATACATTTAATAAAATTAATTAATTGATAATTTATTTATCTGTTCGTTTAATTTGTATAAATGGGCACACTTAGAAAATTTGCCCTGGGCCTTAGAAAACCCAGGACCGGCTCTGCTAACAATTATACTGACCCAATCCTTCTTTATTATTTACACCTACCCTTTTCTTTTTACTGGTTACTTGGATCAATCCATCATCTTAGTTTTTTTTTTTTTGTCAAGTTTTCTTTCTTTTTCACCATTTTTGTAGATAAAAAAGCACTAAATTCTTTGTATATTTTAATAAATGGGCTTCAAAAGAAACATAAAATTTTAGATTTTCCAACTAATAACAAGTTTGAGTAACTTGCTAGAAGACTTCTTTTATCAAAAAAAAAACTCTCAGACCGAGGATGGGAGAGATTTGTGAATTAAAGGAGTTCTAAAAAATGGGTTTGAAGAACCCTTGTTCAGCTGGATTAAACTCTCTTAACACTAATATTTGCTTTTGATATGCCATCATCGAAAGAGATTGGAAGATATTGTGAAAAAAAAAGAATATTGGTTTAGGAACTGAATGAGAATTGAATATGAAGATGGAATGTAAAGTACAATTTTACTCTTTAATTAAAAATTAATTAAAAAGTAATTTTAGGGGCACCGAAGCAACTCTCATATAAAATAGGAAAAGGACGCTCTAGAGGAAGGACTTGACAGAAAGATTCAACAATGTTTTTGGGTTTTGCAGAAATAGCCCTGGAGGAGTGTAGTTGTGTATCTTAAAATACGAAAAGAGAGGATGGATGTAATTTAATAAAATATGAAAAGGAGGGATGTAATTTAATAAAATATAAAACTGACGAAACGCTAGAAGAAGGGCTTGAACCTTCGACCTTGTGGTTAACAGCCACACGCTCTAACCAACTGAGCTACTCCAGCTTTTCGCTATAATTATTCTTTTCTCATATTATATACAGAACTGAAATATCATTCAGAGCATTTACCTTACTTATTTAATAACTCAATTAAAATTTGAACCAAAAAACCTAGATCCATATTGGAACTTCCCAACTGTCCAGATTATCCATGATGAGTTCTATGTTATTTTCTTTATACAAATCCTCTCTTACCCTCTCCCTTTTCTCAACCATTACGGGCAACTAAATTTTTTAACAATAGTGATAAAAAATTATTGGGGTTTTTGTTTCTATGGCCAAAGTTTACCCTAATTTATCTTTAAGCATAATATTTTTTGCTTGTATCTTTAAACCCAGTCATCTTTTTGTATTTATCTCTAGACCCAACTTTTAAAAATAATACATATATGTGGGGCCCCCTTAAATTTTTCTAAGAAAAAAATCCAATTCTACCCTTTCCTGACCTCCTCTTATTCCTGTGTTGTATCATATGTGCGCCCCTTATTTAATTTTTAAAAACCAAATTAAATATGAAATGAGGAGAGAGAGAGAGAGAGGGGGGGGTGTTGTTCTTGCGTTGTTCTTGCGTTCTTCTCCCTCCCTCCCCCTCTCTCTCTCCATTTCTCAATTAAGTCGGCCCTCTCTCTCTCTCTCTCCCTCT